TGAGAACATACATACTCCCTCGTCCGCTATCGCATACTACATACTTGCCTTCTTTGGGAGTATTATGTTCGCTCCTCACACCCCTATCCTGCATTAAAACAATGCGGGTGGGCCTGTGGCCCGGGGGTCTTGACCGACCCCCATGCCCGGGAGAGAGAGAGAGAGAGAGAGTGAGAGAGAGCCTTTGATTAGGGGGGTTTTCCCTTGTCTCTAGCCCTGGCGAAAGAAAGCGAGCCTTTCGTTCGTTTTGGAGGGCACGGAGAAACGTGAGACGGAGGACCCGAGCCCTGCCAGGTTCAAGTGTCCTTCCGGCTGCCTCCGCCAGCGGGCCGAGTGCCAGCAGATGCTGCCTGTGTCGGAGTCCGGACGGACCAGATGTGGAAGAATGGCGTGGTCTTATGTGACTCGATCAGCGGATGATTGTGTGCGACTTCAGTAGAGTCATGACCACAGCAACAGCAACGGCATAGCAACAGCATCAGTAACCACTACCAAAACCAACAACTCTGCAGATAGTCCTAATCAGAGGCGAGATGGACAGAGATCGATTCCGAATATGCGAAATGTTGCCAAGCTTGTGGAAAATCCCAGAGCACGAGGTTTCCGAATCAGGAGCAAGCAGCCTCGAGCATCAAGAAAGCCTGCTTTTGCATCTTAAGCGACTCAGTCTTTTGCTTTTTCATCCTGCGCGGCTCAGTCTAGCGCCCTGTCTGTGAGGGAACAGGTGGCAAGTATGAAGGAGTCCACATCACATGTCAGGGAAAGGTAAAGAGAGCTAGGTCCTTGCATCTTCAATGGCTCATTCCACTTTTTTTGGACCATGAGAGCATGGTCTTTCCATACGACAGAAGGTGTAAACTACGACGGACATTGGGAGCTCTTGAACTCCGGACCGCCGCTTCAAGGCGCATTGGTTGTGAAACGAAGGGAGAGTAGATACTGTAAGCTTGCTTGGAAAGCTCGGTGTGAACTGCCGCAAGTTTGCCATCTTTGCGCCACTAGTACTGTAGCCCTCCGATGAATGCGACTCTGGGCACTTTGCCGCACTTTTTTCGCAGAGGATCTCCTGCCCCTGCGACGCCACTTGCTTCGGGCATGACGAAGCCCATTGGCAGCTCCTGGCACGTACTGTCGTTGGAAGTTCGCGGATCCGAGACTCGGGTTCGAACGAAGTTGTTGTGTTCGGTGGTGCACCGTGCTGTGAACAGGGGCAGTGAGGCGAGGAGAGAGTAACAACATCCGATTGCAGCGCAGGCCCGAGGTGTTCTTGACGGTAACGAGCTGCTGTCATCGGTCCCAGTGCGGGACGTGGACACAGGCAGGGAGGAGGTGGGCTCACATGTGCTTGTGGCTGAACCAACCGTGAGGCTTCGCTGCTATTGGAGCCAACGGATGGTTCCCCATTGAGTTCCGGAACTTCTCCGTCTCCAAGGCTCTCTCTTGTCGATGCCGGCTCTGATTACCCCGAAGATGGCAGGAGCAATGGCCTGTTCCAGCAAGCTGCTTTGCCGTGGTGCCTGGCGCGGTGCTGACATCGGAGCCCTGCACCCGCAACGGCTACTACCTGCAGGAGTGTCGATCTGCCGTGACAGCAGTGCGAGGCTTTTGGCCGGGCTTGTCGTGTGCAGGAGCAGGCGTGGGAGTTGCTTCCCTCCTACCAGTTGAAGAATTCAGGCGGTCGCAAAGATGGATGTCTAAACGGTTTGTATGTTGGGCGGTTTCTCCTTGCAGGCTTTTGTGCCAGTGCCGGTGCACAGGGAGCCGTGACCTTGGAGTTCTGCTTGAGCCTTAGCACGAATTTCACTGCTTCGCCGTGGTGGCCATGTCCATCGCACTGAGCGCGTCGCTTTGCCTGTGGCCTTCAGAAGCAGGCTTGTCTGCACCAAGGCGATTCCGCGAAACCGGCGCAGTTGTTTCTGAATGACTACACCCGGGTCCGTAACACGCTGGTAGAATTCACTTCGAAAGCCGTGCCGCTCGGATGACTTGGTCCCTGACGGTCGCTGCCACAGTGACAAATTAAACACTTTTCTTGTTTGGGTTCTCGCGGCAAGACGCACACTCTATTCGCGCGGCCGATTGTGCCAGTGACCAGGATGAAGCCGCTGGCGGGGGACAAATCCGGCGCCGTGTTCGTTGGAAAGGCTGGAGACTGGAGCAAATGGACATACTTCCCGAGCCTTGGCAGCGTGGGGCCTTGGTACTTGGGACTTGCGGCTTCCTGCCACGAGTCAGGAACACCAAGCAGCTTCGCAACCAGTACGTGGCAGACGTCAGCCTCGGATATCCCATGTGTCTGACGGCTTGTCCGAAGGAGGATCTGACGCATAAGCCGGCCAGCTTCTTCACGTGAGGCAGCAGGGACATGCTGTCTATCTGGCATCATCAAGTATCCAAAAATAGCCAAGGCACTCTCAAGTGTTGGCTTCACTTCGTATGTTCATCCCTATCTTACGCTCCAGAGCTGTTTGGACTGCCGCGATAGACCAGGCCGAGACGGACTCTGGGTGCTTGACCCACCGTCGGGTTTCATTTTCGCCTCTTCCCCAAGCCAGACTTTGAAGGCCGAGTGGAAAGGCTTAGGCCCAAGGAACATTGAGCCGCTCTCTGCCTGGGCTTGCATTCAAAAAGACAGCCTCGTCTTCTGCCTTGGACCTTCGCACTCTCAGATTTGCAACGTGCCCAGAGGCAGGAATCGAGGTCCTCGGAGGAGCTTCCGTGCTGCAGGGCTCCATGGCCTGGCTGCCGAGCTTTCTGGATCAGCATGAGCCGCCGTAGCATGGAACAACCTTAAAGGCCCATGCTTCGAACCTCATTCACCCGATCGGCCTAGAAGAAGCGTCCTGATGCCTCAGCGATCCTTAGCGTCTTCAACCCCGGCTCCCATGCTGTCCACGAGATGTGCGGGGGGGCAGCGCTCGGAGCCGAGATCCGAAAGCGTTTTGCCATGCAGCAAGAAGACGTGACGTTCCCGGGGTAAGCCCAGGCTTTACCTGCCATTCCTCGTGCGCCATGCATGTTGGCCCGCAAGGAGTCGTGGATGCTCTAGATCGGCACAACTGCGAAGCATGTGAAAGCTAGTCGAAGTAGTGCTTCGGGTTGTCTGCCTTGCTGCGCAGCCAGATGTGCTCAAAAGTGCACCGACAGCACTCCATTAGAACTACCAGATAGCGAACCCAATCTGCATCCGACTAGGCTCGGCTTCGGGATGATGGGCTTGCTTTGAGCATGTTTCTTACACAGCAGCTCGAGGTCATGGCAGCCACTGAGCAAAGTGGCTTGACAGGAGGCTCTGGGCGAAAATGCGTTGATCTTGGGAACACGTCGAGAAGTCTCTAACATTCGAGGGCTTGTGTAATGTGTCGGACAAAAGCCGTCCTCGTAGCCACAGAAAGTCGATGTCAAGTTAAGGCCATACTATCATACTGTCGCCAAGAGACTTGTCTTCAGGCCCTGCCATGCTGGCCGGCATCCAAGATGTGGACGTCCGCATGGGCCACTCGGATCGAATCGGTGCAGCGGTTCCTCGAAGACCATTTCCGTCGGTGGGGAGAGTTCTGCTGCGTGGATGCCCCCTTCCGAGGCTTCATCCGGAAGGTCTATGGCATCCTGGGCGCTCAGATGGTCGTTACGACGATCATTGCGAGCCACTCCCCGAGACTGGTTGCAGTCAAAGTTGATGTCCCGAGCAGCGCGAGGACTCCCTCTCGCAACATGTTGATCCGTTGTTCTGTTTGTGAGGGCCTTGAGATCAGGTTTGATCACCATCTACGGCGAGCATTTGGCCATAGCCTTGGATGAATTCTTTGGGCTTAGCTGTTGACAATATGGACAAAGGTGAAGTACAATCCCGCCTTGGTGACCTCCCTGATGGTCGTCTCAATGGTCGCATCCTTTGAACGGTTCAGCAACCTAAAGTGCACCGTATGTTGGCTGTGCGACGCTTTCGCATTGACAAGCTGAAGGTCATGTCAATCAGCTGGACACCCAGCATGTCCTGCAGCGTCGCACTTGCAATGACGCAGTTGCAAAGTCGGGATGTTCCGTTGTGGCGGCAACATACTCCGATTTGGTGGAGGGGGCTTGAAGCCAGAACAACCACCAACAGTAGATTCGATTCAAACCAAACTTAGAACTGTGTTTCTAGTGCATGACGGCTTGGTGGCCGCCGAGGCACGATGTGCGTCTTCATCTGCTGCCCTGACACCATGCGAAAAACGCCCACGAACTACTTGCTGCCCCTCGCTATTGCATGTGGGGGTTTCCGAAAATAGGGGACCCTAATATAGTACCCTAAATAATAGGATTCCTATTATAAGGAGCCCAAATTTAAAATAAGGTACCCCTAATTTTCTGAAACTCCCATGTGGCGGCCGCTTGAACGCTCGGGGGGACTTGAAGCTGAGGCTCCTTTGTTTCACGGTGGCCGAGTCTGTCATGGTAGGCCCGTTGCAGAACGTTGCCATTGCGTGCCAGCTTGAGCGGCAGAGGATGGGATGGCTTCTCTGGGCCCAGAAGAGCCGCATGCAACATTTTAGAAGTTTTCTCCCGTTCCAGGATCGTGTTTGCAGTTTTTGATATCGCCACAGGTTTCATCTGTGTCCAGTACACGGTCCAGTCTGTGCTCGTGACGCTGGGTATCACTGCCCCGCGGTGTGGCAAAGTGTCTACAATACACTTCCATGCGCTTAAGTTTGCGGCCATTGCTCTCGAGGCTGCACTGGTGCTAGCTCTTTCTCTGTTTGCCCTCCAGACAACGCCCCTTCGTGGCATGTACGGCAGAAAGACGCAATGCGGTTTCGAGGAGCATCAGACTTGGCTTGCAATCGGCTTGGACAGGTACGACTTTACCGGCTTCATGCCCTACCTATTTGCCCTGGTATGCAGCCTCTGTTTGTTCGGCCTCGTGATGTCCATCTTCGCCTGGACCGGAGGGAAGTCGTGAATTTCAGGGGTTGTCAGGGCTTAGTGCATTGCAGTCCCTGCTCAAAAAATGGGGTTTTCAGGGGTAGTTTCCGAGCTGAGTTTCGGGGCGTTTAGGAACATGGTCCGGGACAGTTTCGGATCAGGACATGGTCAGTTTCGGTCTCATGCCATGGTCAGCTTCAGGGCCAGACCTGCGAGAACGGGACTGAAACTGCCCACCTTGCCCACCGAAACTGACTCCCGCTGTGCCGAAACCCCCGGCAGCCGATGGAAGCTATAGCAGCTCTGGGAACCAGGACCGGAGCGCTGAGCACCTTGGAAAGCATTTCTTGAGTTTTATCGGCCGGACGTGCGAAAGCGAAGGCCAGCTACAGCCATGTTCAGCCGAATGTCCAGAGACGCAACGGCCAAGAATGGATTCTAACACTAGCTCGAAACCTCACACAGCCAAGGTTGACGCAAGTAGAAAGCGTGATGACCCCAAACATTTAGAAACATGTTGCCTATGAATCGCTCGTTGCAATGTTATGAGGCACTGGTGCCTTCCAGGTGTTGCGACTCGGTGAGATCCGAGTTTGTAGGCATGCCAGATGAATTCCAAGCTGTGTTTGTTCTCTCTCCCTCTCTCTCCCCACCCCTCGTCTTTCCCTCTCTCAGACTGTCTTCAATGTACACGAGGAACATGATCTACGCTGGTCTTGGGGCGGTCATCTTCTCGTTTTACATCATCTTCGATACCCAGCTGATTGTGGGAGGGAAGCACAACAAGTTCAGGCCGGTTCATGGGCAACATGTCCAACACTTTGCGGGAATTTTGCTGCCTGAGGCTTCCGAGCAGAGACAATCCGTTAGTGTCATCCGTTGGCTGGCGCAGGTTCAGCATTGACGACTATTGCATGGCAGCAGCCCGGCTCAACAAAAGGTGTGTCAAACTGCGTGGCGAGTCTTGCGTTCGTTAGGCGATTAACATCTATGTCGACATCATTCAGCTCTTTTTGTTCTTGCTGCAGCTCTTGGGCGACCGCCGTCAGTGATCAGTGAGACTGCTAGCTTTCGGCGAGAGAAGATGTGGTCGAGTACAGGCTCGCCGATAAGAAGCCGAATTCGCCCTAGAGTTTACCAAGCCCCGGAGCCAAAAACGTGCGGTTTCCGTTGCCAGTCGGCGTTCCTGGCAAGGAATTGGGGTCATTGATTGCCGTACGTGCCAGGTGTTTTCAAGGACTCTTGCAGAGATCTGCGATGTGTGGGTGCCCCTGGCAAAATGCAAAGGCCTTTAGATGGGCCCATGGCTCACGGCATGCCAGGCATGCTCAGCATGGTCTACCAAGGTCGAACAACAGTGCGAAAAAGCTTTCGAGCACGAGCTTTGCGATGCCCTCGAAGTTGTTTCAGGCCTGCCTTTCAATGACAAGCCGCAGAATGTCAGAACTGATAGTCTAATGGGCTTGCCACAGGCTTTGGCGGCCGTTGACCAGGAGGCCTCCATAAGCTCTTCGCATTCCTCACGCTTCGTTCTAGAAGAGGAGAACGTTATATAGGTGGGCGTGCCCCCGTCGTCGAAGAGTACAGCTCACGAGCTGGATCCTCAGAGCATCTCAGGCACAGGTACATCTTTTGGCGCGGAGCTTCTTAGAGGCGTCTTTTGTTTTCGTTTCGAGGCTTGCTGCCATGGTTCGCCCGCAGGGTGCGCAGGTGGAGCCCCAAGGTCGTCATCGACGACTGGTGCCAGCGAGGATCACGACGAAAGCGAAGCTGTTAATCACTGACTGGCCCATCTATCGCTGAAGCTCTTAAACCTTAGCCGAAACCCAAACCCTAACAGCCCTAACACCTCTCCCGCATTTTGCGTGGTCCCCGAGTTGCAGGGATTTCTTTGCCCGAAGTGCAGACGCACCGCACCCGGTGTGGCTCAGAAACGAGACATGACAATGAACCGCTCTCATATCAGTGAGCAAGCTTCGCAGTTAAGCAAAGCCATGAGCCACACTGTTATAAAGTAGTATGCCACCTTGGCCATGCCATGAATTTGATGGTGTCCCACACCCCTACAACAGTCATTTCTTTGTCTTGGCAGCAGATTGCTTGGGCCTTCCTTCGGTCGCCATGGGCCAGCGATGCCCCTGCCGCGAGATCAAGGCACACCATCTTAGTGAGGTGTTCTTCTCGGAGATGTAGTGACCCACGGGCCGCAGAGCCGCGGATGGGCCCTTTCTAGCGCGGGGTGCGGGTTGGGCTCTTGCTTGGCCGAAGAGCGGCCTCTGCCTTCAGTTCTGCAACGTCGTGGAAATTACAGGTCATAGCAGGCCTCATGCGCAAACCTGCTTCTTGAGATCAGAAATTGGTGGCTCACCGAGACCCGCGGATCTGCCTTTCGAGGATGTGGCTGCGCAAGATGCCCCCGGTGAGGGGGAAGTGCACGCCATAGCCCAGGAGACCGTGCCTGCGCTTTCCCGGCTTCATCTGATCGCTGCTGCGTGCTTCCGAGAGGAGAAGACGGAACCACTCAGCACCACAACGGATGCCAAGGCCCGTCAAACTTGGAGGGTTCAGGACAAAGCCGCCGGACTCTTCACCCGCAAAAAAGAAAGCGTCGGGGGTTTTTCTGGCATTTCGCAGCTTCCAAGCTCGACCTGCAGGTCATTATACCACAGCCTGAAGCTCTTCATATTAGTTTCAGGAACTGGAGAAAGGCAGTAACATTGGCGACATGGGCATGCAGCCTTACGGACTCTCGTTGAAAGAAGAGTCTAACAACCGAGACTCGAAAGCATTCGCAGTGTGGATGGGCACGTTCGTGCTGAGGATGTCTGCAGCGGCTGTCGAAGCCAGAACTGAACCGTGCTGAAGTTTCTATAAGTCTCTCCAGTGTTGTGATGCGTGTATGTATGTACGTATGTATGTATGTGTGTACGTATGTAGGTATGTGTGTGCGTGCATATTCAGTGAGAGAGTGGCAGGTCCTCCCCATGACGAAGCCAGGGGAGGTCAAGGCCGTGCCAGCTGTTGAGCGGAAGATGCCTTGGGTGCTGCCCCCCGGGGGGAAGCTCACAGCCGAGACCTCAGTGCATTGTGTGCCACAGCAACTGCCGTAATGTTGGAATAGTGCCTTCATGCCCTAAATACAGAGTCGCTACAGAATCGCAGAGTGCACATCCAGCTTCCGACTTATGGGGGTTTGTTGCAAAGGGCAAAAGCTACAGGACTTCGAGTGATGCACCCACAAGATGGTCGACTGGAGTCGCTGAGTTGCCCTTCCGCTTGAAAAATGCAATCGAAAAGTTGAGCAGCAAGCCACAATCATAAGAAAAGCAATCGCTGTTTATTGCTGTTGTTTCGATTTGTATCCGCATTTTTGACTTAGCGGCAGCAGCAGAACAGGAGCAACAAGAGTAGCAGTGGTGGTGTCCGAGTCGCAGTCGTCAGGGCCGGCGTCCTCTTCGTCGTCGCGGTCATGCTATATAGTCGAGATCGTCATGATCTTGCTGGTGGTGGTGGTGATGGCGTTGTTTTTTTTGTTGGTGGTGTTCGTGGTGGTCGTGGTGGTGGTGGTGGTGGTGGTGGCGGTGGTCGTGGTCGTCGTCGTGGTGGTCGTCGTCGTTTCAGTGGTTGTGGTGGTGGTAGCGGTTGTTGTTGTGGTCGTCGCAGTAGTGGAAGAAGGAGAAGCAGTCAAGAATGATACGTCGGCCGTAGTGACAATAAGAACAGGAGGAAACCATTTACTTACTATGCTGGAGCAAAAGTAGAGGCGAAGGAACAACCAAAATGCAGGAACGAAGGTCCATTACTTCGGCTTGTCACCACTGCCGCCACACCCACAGCGCCTACCACCTAAACCATTTCCAGCACCAGTACCATTGCTATGTTCGTTTTGGCTGCGCTGTGGAGGGTGCTTTGCATTCGAACGGCGGATCGGGTATACGTATGCCAGGTTGCTCAAATGGGATCGGCCGCAGTCGTGGCAAACCGCTGGCCAGTGAGGATGCAAAGCACCGGTGTTCCGTACGCTTTCGGTCAGTGCGTTCCCTTGCGTGGTTTACTCCGCATGTCGCCAGTGTCTTCGTCGGATTCCTGGTCGGTGCCTCGCTCATCATCACAGAATGTGTGGATCGAAATCATGTTCGACCTCTTGCCATGGAGGGCTTGAAGGCCATGTTGCACTTGCCCAACGGACCCAATCATGTCAATCATGTTACAAGTGAAGCCGGAGTGTGTGTGTGCTCCCGAAGAAACACGACTGCCTTGGTGACAAGCACGAGGCTCTCTTGGGAAATGCATGCACTGTCCTCGGCTAGTAGAACTCCTGCGAAATCCACGGGCCCGAAACTCCTGCCATTGTTTTGGACCTGCACGCGTCCCAGGTGTTGGCTGTCGTGTCAAGTTGGGCTAGGTGCTCCTGCGAACCCCATGAACGTCGACATGCCTTATTTGGGACGATCGGTTGCGAGATCCGTGAGAACCTGTTGCCTGTCCCCACGAGTTTGGCATTCAGATCGGAGGTCTCAGTCGTGCGATCAGGCAGACAACTTTCAAGATGGGCAAGCCCAATGCAGACATATCCCATGGTGCTGTGATCAGTATGGCTGTTGGATCTGACCTCCCTTGTCGCGGTCCCTTTGTCGGTCACCTCTTTCAGCGTTGCTTCTACGTGTTCGAGTTTGGCCCTGAGAAGCTCGGGGCTGGGGCACTGGCCACTGGTTCCGGAGGAGCCTAAAAAGGGGCCCGAAAGCGCCTGCACAGAACACTTCAGCACTCGATTAAATTAAGCGCCAATCTGCAAGCACGCATCGGCTCAGGTAATGATGTTCGGGATGACTGGAGCCGGCAAGAGTGCGCTCGGGAACCTCATTGCTGGATCACAAATCTTTGATTCAGGTGCGGCGGGGAACGCAGGGCTTGCTTCTGGTTGCGTGCATGTGCGACACCTCTTTCAGGTGATGACACTTCAAGTGTGACCTGCCTAAACCGATATGCGCAGTTCAGTTCGGATTCTCGAAGCTCAATCGGAGAGCCTCACCCGTACATGTTGAAAACGGAAGCCACAAACTGAGATCACGAACCTGGATTCTATCATGAAGCAGCCTGGCAGCAAGTGCAGCATCCCTTGCTTGGTCGCACGGTTTCAGAACGGTTTCAGAAAAGCTTGAGAAACATCACCCCCGGGCCCCGAACCTGGCGCTGAATACGGGCTTCGTCCAAGCTAGGTAGGAGGCAAAAAACCTGGCGAGCTGCTCGATGCCGACCGAGGTACGAAGCCGAGGACGGTTCCTTGGTCGTCCTTGACACCATCGGCTTGGGAGATACGGAGATCGACCAAGACAAGGCCCTACCAGCGGCTTGAGGTTTCAATTCAACGTGGATTCCAGGTTTGTACAGCGACCCCTAAGACCGTAAACAGCACTTGATAGCGCCCTTGATAGCTCCATGATTGTCCGGAAAGCGCAGGTGGTGGCCAGCATCAGGGATGTCGCGCTCTCTGCATTGCAGCTGGGCAGCCGTCCAGATGAGCTGAACTCAAGTCTTAAACGGAGATTTCTTAGTTCGATGAGGATGAACCCCTAACTCGAGTCTGCAATGTGGTAGCATGTCATTGCGGGAGTGCAGTTGTGGCGCCTCTGTTTTATCGTCTTGGCAAGGCACGGAGTGGACTGTTTGCTGTACGTGATGCGCAATGCCCGCATCACGGATGATGCGATTGATGCATGGCTCAATATGCATCAAGACTGCCACTCCAATAGCTGCATTACAAGCTGTTGACAGGACGATGCGCAACTAATTACAGTATGATACTGCCATGCCTGTTCTGCTTGTAGATTCGCACGCCCCCCAATGCCAGCTCACTGCGAAACATCTTGCAGCGGAGTCATACTGAGGCGAGGCTCATCTACGTTACAGAGTATCTTTGGGGCGATGCTGCTTGGCAGAGTTACTAGATCCGCTTCTTTGCTACTTCGATGGGCGCTGGGCTTGTACGTTCTTCTGCCGTTGTATCGCATCATTACACTCTAATGCAGTAGTGTTGGGCATAATCCAGATGATTGAGCGAGGTCGTTGTAGACGCTGTAATTGGTTGAACTTTCCGCAGAAAGTTGTCGGTGTGCCAGAATACGTACGTACCGGCGGAGCGAAACTGCTGCGGTCTGCGTCGCGACTGACAGGTGAAGAGTCGGTATGAGAGAGGGTTCATCGTATAGCGAAGTCTTACCCAGACAAACAACCAGGGCGCGCTCGCGCGCAGGGAGAGCGCACTGCTCTCCTTTGGCTGTGCAGAAGAAGAGAGAGAAACCCCTGCACCACAACCCTGGCGAAAGAAAGAGAGAGAGAGAGAGAGACAGCCCAGCCCCGCTCGTTTAGAAGCTCCGCTGCGCAGCTGAGCCCCTCTGCCAAAATGGTGGATGGGGATGCGCCTCGGCGCGGGTTGGGAGGTACCTCCTCCTAACTGTAAACCCCTAGCAAAGCAAAGCAAAGCAAACCCAGCCCCGCTTGCGAGCGCAGGGAGAGGTCAATTTGGCTGAGTGGAAGAAGCCCAGCCCTGCATGTTGGATTAAGCCATGCTTTAAGTGCCAAAGACACATGAAAGCGGGGGAGCGACGACTGCTGTAACCCTAGTTCTCTGTACTGACTTCCAGGGCACGTCGCTGCCCTAATTACCTGTGGTGTTGAAGTACAGCTGTGCCTTGGGGGGACACCCTACAAGGAGTAGTCTTTCCGCCAAAGAACCGCGGGTTTGCGTTTGCGCAAAGGGCAGTAGCTGGACCGGTGCTGCTCCCAAGCCCTGTAAAGAGAGAGAGAGAGAGAGAGAGGGCTGGGCCCGACAGGGGAGAATCCCCGAAGGGAACCCGTCTGCCAATGAACTGGGGTTGCGTTCGCGCAAGGCGGGCTAGAGAGAGAGAGGGCAGATGCCGCAGTTAGCAACTTTCCGGACACGACGGATGACCGGGGTTCGAACAGGCCAATTCGGCGGAACATCGTGGCCATCCCGGAAGGGGCAGAGAAGACAGACCGTGGCGAGCCGTAGGGGGTAGGCCTCCGGGCCAGGAGACCTCCTGTCCCCATACCCCAAGCAAGCAAGCAAGCGAGCAAGCGAGCAAGCGAGCGAGCGAGCAAGCAAGCAAGCAAGCGAGCAAGAGATAGGACAGATAGAAGGAGAGCGCACCAGTGCGTGGGCTCGCGGGGAATGGCCTTGCTCTGCGCCGTGCATCTCGACGAGATGTAGGGTCAAAAGTTCACGGACATGCAGAGACTTTCAGGACAGCCTCCTGAACCTGTACATTGTCGTCACCTGTGCCAGCAAGTATGCTCGAAGTCGCGAGGATGCAGAGCCTCGGCTGCAGTTGAATTTGACATACGGGATTCATCAGACTCTGTCTGCTTTTGGCCATCGTTTGTTTTCTTGTTTGTCTGTTCCATGTTGGCATGGCGGCTTGGAACATCATGCTCCTTCTCCTGCCCTTCTGCCCACCAACCTGCTCACATTGCAGGTTTCGGCAGGCCAGTCTAAGGCCTCGATTTGAAGAGACTCCTGACAGGATGCATGCCAGGTAAAGTCTTGAGGCAGATTTGGGACAGGTGCTCCGCAATTGCAAACTGCGGCAGCAATCCCTTTCAACCCCCGAATGTCCGGATGCCTTCTGCAAGATCCGAAAGTTTTGTTGCAGTATGCCTGGCTGCGAGGCACTTGAGGATAGCACGAGAGAGACAGTGAGAGCTCGAGCACGGGAGGGTGGGTATAAAGACCTCTGCCCTCCTTCAGCCTTGCAGCAGGCAAATCCCCCCAAACTGGCCCGGGAAAGCTTCGTGTCCTTCGAAGGATGAGTGGATCCAGCGGCAAGTGGAGATTAACTGGCGCTTCAAGCACATCTACGCCATCGTTGGGAACAATCCGAGCAGGCCCAAACAAGACTGGCCGCCAACAGCCCTCAAGCTACTGCAGTCAGTTTTGGGGAGGTTCATTTTCGTGGACAACCCGGACCCAGAGTCGCAGGAGCCCAACCTGGAAGACAGCCTCTCGGCACGAAGTTCGTACGCCGTGAACGCTGCGGATGCCGACCCACTCCCTGCTCAAGGACGGGCGCACAGCCGGGAGACTCTGTACAAGCTGTTTTGCTTCTGGGCAGCATCTGGGCAGTGCTCTGAGAGTTCCAGCAGATGGCCCTTTGAATCAGCCCAGGTACCCACCCTCGGGATGCCGTGCCACCCTTCACGCAAGAGATGATGAAGAAGGCGTGCTTTTCACCAGGAACTTTCATCCGGATCTGCTCTCCCCAGCCGGGAGCGGCGGTCACTCCCGCCTTGGGAGGTTCAGGAGATGACCAAGAAAGAGGCGGAGGAGCTCAAGCAGAAGGACACGGCCACGGCCTGGAACTCCTGACTGCCAGCCTTGTACATGTCCTTTGCTTCAACAGGAGGAAGAAGTCCAGAGATTGGAGACTGCCGTCAAGGCTAAGGCCAAAGGCAGTGCCAAGAAAACCTCGGTGACGGGTGTAGTGAGAGCCTCAGATTCTTGTGGCATCTCTTCTCTTTGAATAGCGCCCCAGCAACCAAGCTTGTCCCTCTGAAGGTTCCAGCTGCAGCTGCCGCGGACAAGAAACCGGGGCAAGAGACACTGGGACTGAATGGAAGAGCTTGGGGCAGCCCTGTGGCATCGCGGAAGCCTTTGGCTTTTCCAAGTGCCTTCGGTTGTCTTTTGCCGCGCTTCGGGCTCAGGCTTTCGGCTTCCGCCAACCTGCTGCAAGCAAAGGAGGCCTGGCCGGGCCTTGGGGGTTTGGGCCCGGCACAACGACCAGACCGTTGTCCTGCCCAGGATATGAAGAAGGCCAAGCTGGCCATGCAGCTTCGCCTGAACCAGGCCAGAGTCAAAAGAGGAATTCGGAAGCTTTCTGAGGAGGCACTTCTCTAAGCTCGGTCAGTTGGTGGACGTCAAGAAAGGGGCCTGTGAGAGCCTCCAAAACGGTGCCTGAACGACGCAGCCAAGGCAGCTTTGGTCATGCGCCGCTTCTCCTAAAGAATGAGAGTCAGACTTACTCCCAACAAGCTCATACTAATACTCTTAGTGGGTCCTACTGTAGTCGCGGCCCAGTGATCTGCATCGCTCGACGCGATGCAGAGCAGGTCAAGGCCAACAAGGACTTCCAGGATGCGGCGCAGCAGCACGCTGATAAGGCCACCAACAGGCACCCGTGGTGTATATGCGGCCTCAGACTTGCAGTGATGTGCAGGGGCTGTGGAGCTAAGGTTGAGGGAGTTTTGGTTGTGATTTTTGGGATTATGGCAAGCTTTGCTTAACCCTTCAGGCTGCAAGCTAGCTTGTCGCCTGCTGCTGACTCTTCGTCGGCTTACACACCGGTTTCTAATTTCTTCAGGGGGATGCATTGTCGTGTTGATTCAGTTCCGTGTGCGCCCAATCGGGCTTTGTCCGCCTGCCACAGGTTCTTGAACGACTACAAGTCGGCAGACAATGCCAACACAGACAGGGGCAAAGCTGCCACCAGGCCTCTAAGAATCTGGCCGTGCATGTGAGCTGGCATGCTTCAGTCGTCTGGGGGACGTGTTGGCTGGATCTCTGGGAACATGAACTTCCAAAGGATTGTCGATACACACTTTTTTGTCCTTCTCCCTGATAGGATGTTGACGTCGCTCACCAAGTGCCGCGGCGGATTCATCCAGCACATAGAATATGAAACACCATCTATCAGTGTCGCTTGCGAGGAGGAGTACTTGTGCGGCGGTTTGCTTGTGCTGCAATTGTCGGTGGTGATTGATGGGCCAGCCCTTCTCTGTTGTCCCCGTCCCCTCTTGCAGAAAAGCCACGATGCTCAGGAAGCTCTCGCTCAACACAGCCTCGGCGGCGAAAGCAGCCAGCACAGCTACCGCCAAGTCTGCTCCTGCGGGGGCCTCTGATGTTCGCCCATGCTCCTTCAGCGTTGCGAGCATCCTGGGCTTGTGAGCTTTGGGACTCTGGGCCGATCTTCAGGCTGTTCCTCTTGAGCAACAGTTGCAGACCATTTTGAAGAAGGCCCGTCGGCGGAGTCTGATCTTCAGCTTTCGTTTTGCGTTGCCGGAAAGGTAAAGAAATCGAACAAGGAGACTCCTGCGGCCTTGTTTCGCAATCTTGGTGGCTGGAATGGGCCTGGCGCCATCTCCCCACTTGTGCCTCGCAGATTCAGAGGGACGGAGAGGGACAGAGAGAGAGAGAATAGGTTTGCAACTCCCAGAGCAGAAGAGTCCATTTTGACCACGAAAGACAGCGGGGATGAGGAAAGTTCAGGGGGTCCAGGGGGGTCACCGACGGTTCATAGCCAAGCCTCATCCTGAAATGTCAGTAGCACACCGAACTTCATGACCAGTGCGCATCTATGTGTGAGAGCAGTGCTGGAGTGCTGTCCTTTGGCTGTGTGGAAGAGGAGAGAGAATGTTGGATTGGCTCGCCGACTCAGCAAAAAGAGCTGAAAAGGGAAGCATCCCTCAGAAATATCACAATTCTAGACAGGCCCGGGGGTGGAGGTCGTTCCTCCAGCCCTGTGGCTGGAGGGATGGCTTGGGCCGGCGCCAGGGAAAAGCCCTTGTTGAGACTTGCGGATCAGCAGGGCCAGAAGCATGAACGCCGGACGAAGCCGTGTGAGAAGCCCGCCGCTCACGGGGTGGCTTTGGCGTTTACCCCTGCTTGCCTTCAAACACACCCAACGGAGGAAAGGCAGAGCAGACGCAGTTTGCGCTCAAAGATGTTGTGTTTATGTGTGTTTTGACTGCCACATGGATATGGTGCAGGACACAGAAGCAGACCTCACATTTGACTCGGAGAAGGGCGACCGAGGTATTGCAGATTTGTAACGGAGAGCGACCACCACAACAAATGGTTGAAACAAAGACCAAGCTCCAAACAGAAGGCAGAGAATGGCGCGTGCATTTTGGAAGCTGCAGAGAAGCCATTCACGGGAAGCTGTCGGGACATTGTATCTTGTTGTCACATGCTTGCGAGCTCAGGTTTTTACAAACTTTCTGCTGACACATGTCCCCGATGTCACGCAGACGCAGATCGGAGCTCTGTGGTGGAGAGCCGATACCAACGGTGACGGGCAGGAAGGGAAAGTTAGGTTGAACTTCAAACGCCTTGCAATGTGTGTCTGTGTGCGTACGCTATTCTGCCTCCGAAAGTGTCGGTGGATGCAGGTGGATTTGCAGGAATTCAAAGACTTCTTCTCCAAGTTTGTAGAGGCTGGTCCGCCGTTTGTGCAATATGTGAACCATATGTTTCCAAGCTGTTTTCAAGGCGGCGTGATGCGGCCCTGGTCAAGAAAAGGCCTCAATGGAGGCGTGATGCCACAGGCCTTGGTTTCGCTGCCATGTCTTTGTCCCGGCCTATCTGTCAGCTGTCGCGATCTGCGGAATGAACTCTGCTGGCCTTCTGGCTCAAGCAGTGAGAAGTGACGAGATTTTTTTGGTGCTCCTGAGAGAGGACCTGAGACATGACAGTGAAATTGCAAGAGCACGTGTCTGCACTGCCCGTAGAGAAGGCCGGAGTTTTGTTCAGCCGTCACTGCGTTTCTACTCCTGGGTTCTTGTTAAGGAACTTAAGACTTAAGATAAGGTGCCACGGTAGGGATCTATGTAGATTGTGAGCGAGAGCCCGCTGGTGTTTCTATCTTCTACATCATTCCCAATCCTATACTTAGGGTTCCGAGAACGACTGGATAGTATAGAAATCCTAAACCCTGCCGCATGCTACGATATGTTGTCCCCAATAAGACCTCGCCGTGAGCATCGTCCTCAGCCATGCGAGAGGGACAAAAAACTCCCAAAAAAATCCACACTCCCTAAACCCTAAACCGTATGTAGGCCATTTTGGCTCAAGCCATTTTGGCTCAAGCCATTTTGGCTCAAGTGCCAAAGCGGCTTTTCCCCCCAGTGCTCCAGGGTATCCCCCCTCGCGTTTGTTCTGAGGCCTTCTTTTGCTGCAGCTGTCTCTCGGTGCTCTCTCGTCCGTTCGTGCCTCCCGTGCGTCCCCTGTACACATGGGCACCCCGCTGGATGAACAGGAGACTTTGGATCTCCCCCCGCTTCACGACGACGACGTCAGCCCCGTGGGGGGGGGGCGGCTGTTGGGGGGGAATGAAGATGCGCAAATGCGCGAAGCCGCGCATGCGGCGCTTCTGGCGGCGACCGGAGGGGAGGGAAGGGGGGGAATGGGGGAAGTTGGGGGGGGTACGGGACTTCGGAACGCCCTTGCTGCGGCAAACGACGGTGCCTTGGAAGCGGCTCAGAAGCTCCTCAATAAGCACCCCTCTGTTCCTAAAACCAAAGCCTCGGGGCCCCAGGGCAGCCCCGGTAAAAAAGCCAGGCCCGAAGGACCTCCTCAAGCAGCTCCCTCTAAAATATCGGCCCCTGGTCTCCAAGCTCCCCCTGTCTTTGGTGGTCCAGGTCCTCCTCCCGCTAAAGATAAGCGCTCCCTGCCAGCCACATACCATATTGGTGAGGATGCACCTCCGCCGTGGGCACAGGATCTTCAGCAGGGTCTTTCAAGGTTGGATCGGGGTCAACAAGATACATTAGAACAACTGCAGGTCAATAACAGGACTCTACAAAGCATGTCGGATAAGATTAAGACCCTGGAGAGTCGCCAGGACTCACATCTTGAGAGAACTCAGGCGTTCGAAGCCCGCTTGTCAACACTGGAAGCAGAGCTACGGGATCTCAGGTCGCGCAGTCCCAGCATGGCTTCCGCCTCAGGTTATGCCTCGCCTCGCACACCCAAAGAGGGCGTACATGATGATTGGCAGATTGCGCTAGGTGGGTGGGCAGACGCCAGGCGTGATGCTATTGAGGAGGAAGTCAGAGCATGGTTTGCAAGGGCGGAATGCCTCCCTTTGCTTCAGGATGTGCATGTGAATTCGGTAAGGTCTAACACATGTCGTGTTGACTTGCTGTACATGCAGCCTAATCTCAGGGACAGAAGAAAAGTACAGAACTTGTGCGTAGAGGCCCTACGAAACGCTAGCAGGCCGAGTGACATACCTGGCCAACCCCCTCGCCCCCTGTGGGCCAAACGTAACCGAAGCCCAGCCGAGCGAGCTAGAATCCGCGCCATCGTGACCATCAAGGCCCTGATAACGAGATTTCTGAGTGAAGCGGACTTTGAGTTTGACTGGCGAGGACGCTTCTGGGTCAAGGGGGTTAGCATCTTAGCACATTGGGATGACAAGAAACCAACGGAAGGGGGCTTGTTGCTTCTGGACGCGCGAGGCTCGGAGACGGGCTGGTGGATTCCGGGCCCCCAGGTTGCGCAGTTGATAGGCACAACGCTGGAGGTGGTACATTCACACTTTGAAGTGGAGGTTTCACAAAGCTAGGGGGTAGGCCGGAACAAGCGTGTTTTCCCGAAGACTGAGTTTGTTTGTTGCACGTGGAATCTTCATGGCAAAGCTGTAGAGGACCTTTCTAATCTGTGGGAGGACATGGTGCAACTTCCTGATGTTCTCTGTTTGCAGGAATTAGGTGGGGTCAAAGATGCAACCCCCGATGTCACTTCTCGTCCGTGTCTGCTTGGTCGTACGTCGTACACGATGTACGTATGTTCGGCGGAGGAGGCCTTCAGGTGCCAGGCGGTGTTGGTACGTGCTGACATAGGCCTGACAGTAAAGTCCCGTCTAGCCTTGAAAGCTGGAATTCTTTTGCATGTTGCAAGTCCCCAGCACGTTTTGCATGTTGCATGCCTCCACCTTCCTCACAGTAAAAGAGCGAGCTCTGATCTGCGGCCGGACGCGGACGCCGAAACGGTTTGGAGACGCACCCTTGAAGGGCTCGATGAAGGAATCCGAGACGCGCAGCCCCAGGACGTCATCCTGATCGGAGCGGACGTGAACCAGGACCTTCACGCTAGGGTTGACGAGTTTCCGGGGATGGGCTTGTTGAGGGCTCTCATTTCCAAATATGACCTGCGGTATAACCGCTCCGTGGGCCACACCTGGAGTGCAAGGGGGGTAAGCAGCGAAATTGACTTCATCTTGCTGCGAGCGCATAGGGTTCAAGTTGTGTCGTTCAAACGAGATGACATGAAAGAAGCCCTGCCTTCGGACCACTCGCCGGTTTTCAGTGTCATCCGCACACCCCGCCCACTAGTGAACCGAGCGATGAGGCCCAGAACGCAGTGCGGTAGGTGGTGCACCTCCCCCGGACCCTTGGAAGCATATGCAAAAGCTGAGGTCCCCTTCGACCCGACTGAATTCGCGAATTTATGTGCAAGCCACTCGACTCGCCCTGCCTCCCTGCGGTACCAGGACTCTCCCGAACTCAAGCAGTCGATTAGAGAAAGGCGGGGGACAACGGATCCGCAGGTAAAGGCAGCCCTGCTGTGCAAGGTCCGTCACGAGCGGGCTCTGGCCAAGGCGGACCACAAGATCAAGATCTTGGAGGATGCCCGCGCGGGAGACCGAAAGGCGATAACCTACCTTCGTAAGAGTGCGGCACAGCGCTCCTTTGAAACGAGCTACATCGAGCTTCGAGGCGGGCAACAACAAGCGGCACATGAACTTCAGCAGTTTTATGAAGCTAAGTACTCCTCCTTTTTGCCCGCTCCTACTAAAGAAGCTGTCGACCAGATGCTTCGTACTCATACGTCGATCCAACCACGGCCTTTTCATGAGGACGAACTGGCAACAGCCATTGCTAGATGCAAACCACGTACGAGCTCAGGCATGGACGGAGTGTGTTACGAAGCCATCAAAACGTATCACCGGCAGGACTCTCGGGGCAAGCTACTGCAGTACTTCAACCGCTTATTGCATGACGAGCTTGCGGTGCCGTCGAATTGGGCGGAAGCCAAGGTAGTTCTATTACCCAAGACTCCAGCTCCAGCATGCCCTTCTGACCTACGCCCCATCTGTCTGTCCCCTTGTTTATCAAAGGTCTTTGGGAGACTTATCATGAACAGGGTCGCAGCACGATGCCCGCCTTTCGCGAGTGGCCAGCTTGGCTGTAGGAAGGGCACCCAAACAGTCGACGGTATCTATGCTCGGCAAATCGCTTGCACATGTCCTTAGGGACCCATTCCTGGCAAATTCCGGTGAAGCAGGGCATCATGCAAGGAAGTAGCTACTCAGCCGATCTGTTCGCCAGGGTAATAGATAGGCACATAAGGGGGCTACAGCCGAGATGGAACGCAATGTTCCCGGCCTGGGAAGACGGACTTTGCCTCCCACACTTTCTGCTGTATGCCGATGATATTTTGTTGTTCGCAATGAGTGCAGCAGAGCTCCAGAGGAAGTTGCGAGACTTGACGGACAGCTTGCAGTGCATCGGCCTTTTTATCAATGCGAGGAAGTGTCAGGTCCTGAACATCAAAGGAGTTACTCCAGGTGTGTGGCCGAGAAACAGCGCTGTCCCACTGGAGGGGCGTGACGCCCTTACTTTCTTAGGGGTCCCCCTCAGACACACCAACGATCCGGAATCCATGCTTACACACTCTTTGCGTAAAATGACGAACTCGTATTTCGCCATGAAAAAGCTGCTTGATCACCCCTCCACGCCTCACAGGTTGAAAGCGACGCTCTTTGAAAGCTACGTTTCTTCCCGCTGGTCGTGGTGTAGTTCAGTGGTGTGGCCCAGTGTCAGGTCCCTTAGATCTCTTGAAGGCCTCTCAAGAACTCACTTTTGCTGGGAATCTTCAGATTTGCTCCGGACCCGTTTAGCACATGGGTTGAAAACACGCAAGGGGTTAGAAGAGCTCTGAAGTTGTACTGCGATAGGTTCTCAGGACCCCGCTGGCAGGTGACGTGGCTCACTAGGATATGGACCTATATGGGCCACTTGGCACGATGTCAGGTGGATACGCCGCTTACAGTCTTGGTGCGCACCCTTAGCTCACACAAATTGGCGCTGCGAACTCTGCGCCCCTCGTGGCTCAGTGAGTGCCCGCTCCATAAGTTCAGGCTATTCTACTCCCGTGTCAGGCAGGACGGCGAACATGAACACTGGGAATGGCAGGCGTCCAACCGTGCAGGCTGGAGTAACATGCTACCGAGATGGCTGGCGGCCTGGAGCGCGGGCCTCCCGACTCCGGATACTTCGGAGTTCCTTCAGGGCAGGCAGCTTGTAGTTGTGAAGGGAGGAACGGCGGCATTACGCCCTCGGCGAGATGTGTTGGAAGAGGGGTACAGCAGGGGATTGATTACCATCGCCCCCTGGAGGGCCAATAATTGTGTCTCCAGTACGATCTGGGTAGCACACCGGATAGGCTGGCCCACTGCATGCGTGTACGTCTTCCACAAAAATCAGAAGGCACAGTCGGCCTCGGTCCTCCACATCCCAATGTCCCACAAGACTG